CCTACTAGAAACCTCGTAAGATCGGCGGAAATAAGCCCGCAAGCCCACCCAAGCGTTGCTTGACCATTTTTGTCATGCAGAACGGGATCAACATCAGTTCGTTCTGAGAGTAGTGGCACTACCCCATAGCTCCCCTTTTCTACAGCCCTCCAGATCGGTGTTTGGCCATCCTTGTCTCTGCAATGAGGGTCGGAACTCTCACATTGCAGAAGCAACGGTACCATATCCTTGTTACGACCTTGAGGAACCCGCGAGAGTGGCATTCGCCCATTTTCGTCCCTGCAATCAGGGTTAACCTCTTTGCAACACGGCAAGTATTCCGCACGGCGGATATCCCCCCAGCTAGTGGCCCGGGAGAGGAGTGAGAGGCCATTGCAATCGAGTAAATCGGGACTGGAACCGGCTTCCTCTAACTGCGATATGCAAGATTCTCCGCGCCAGTGCTCGGTAGCCCACGAAATTGGCGTCAGCCTATTGTGACCGCTAGTCATCGGATTGACCTGTGGCCGTCCCATTAGCATCTTCACGATGCCCCGGTCCCCGTACTGGGCTGCCCACGAGTATAGTGTTCGGCCTCCTTTGTCTACCAGCTCCGGAATGATCTCACGATGCGCGAGCGCTAATTTGATTAGTTGCTCGTACCCATTGCCGGCCGCCCAAGATCGCAGTGTTCTGCCGTATCGGATATCCGTCGCATTGGGGTTAACCTCCTTCCACTCGACTAGCAACATCACTACGCCCTCAAGCCCTCCACCAGCTGCCCACGAGAGTGGTGTTCCATCGTCGGTGTCCGCGGTGTCCTTCCTGGCTCTCCCCCTCTGCAGCAAAATCCCCACCACCCCCTCATGCCCATTTCCGGCCGCATATATGAGCCGTGTCTGGCCGAGGTTGTCCACCCAATCGATATCCACATCCTTTCCCAAAAAAAACTTTATTATATCCTCTTTCCCGCTCTGCGCCACCCACAGAAGTGGCGTTCGGCCGTTGCTATCCACAATACGGGAAGTGGTCGAGTCGCTTTTCATGAGTAATCGTGCTATCCACTGGCCGCCATTCCCGGCGGCCCACGAGAGCGCTGTTCGGCCTTCATTGTCTTTCCCCTCGGCGCTCACTCCTCTTAGACCCAATAACATATCCACCACCTGGAAGGTTCCACTCATCGTAGCCCATGTTAATCGTATGCGGCCGGCGAAATCCCTTCCGTTTCTATCCCTATCTTTGACCTTCAGTAACGGGGTTGTGATCTCTCTAATTCCCGGGAATAGTATGGCGTGCAGTCCAGTATTCCTCGCGTATCGGGCCTCATATCCGTCCCAAAACCATCCCTTCTCACAGTATATCTTTGAAAGGAGCAACCTAGCCGATATATCGGTATCAAATTGATCGCGAAGTTTGGCCGCAAATGAGTTTCCCGCACTTGTGGTTTCCGTTCGGGCGTGGGTCCTCCAGTCATGAGATGCGTATTCAAGAAATGGAGTTTTCATCATATCTCCGGAGGTGGTGGCCGATAGGTCCTTGATGGACCAGAGGCCGAGATAGGTCAAACACACTTCTGCGATGGTTCCATGGGGACTCGCGAAAATGGTCGAATGTTCGCATAAATACTCCAGGAAGGTAAAGCGTTTCAGTCGCACAGCCGAAGCTTCGCTATCAAAAGCGATAAGCCTTGAGCAGCAGCCTAATATGGTCTGAATCGATGGAGCTTCATCGGGATTATGATGGATAGACCCGGTTTCCACTACCAGGGCATGGGAAAGCTCATCGACTCGTACCGGCCGCTCGGATCGAGGAACCCAGATCAATGTTCGCACGGCAAGTTTCGACTGATTCTCACCCTGCTCCTCTACCCGTTTCAGAGTGTCGGCGTAAGCAGCTTCTAGCCCAAGGCCTCTAGCCACCTGTCTGGGCTTCTCTTTCCTTGCGTCTATTATAGTCTCTCCCAATATCGCCGTAATATTCAATGAAACCAGCAGAAATCTAGCAACCGTTAGTGTCCCAGTACCGCTCATTCAAGAGAGCTTCATCTACGTACATCTCCGATATCGTTTCCGGAATCACTTTCATGATATCCCGCTTGAATTCACAAGCCATCTCCTCAAGAAGGGTATCGTCCCGCAATCGCATCCCTAGGGATCGTGTGATATCCTCCTGCCCCGGCTTGAATGGTATGATCTGCAGAGCGCTGGTTTCGTTTTCCTCGAGCTCAGCCTGAATATGAGGCCCCCTGGTAACAAATAGCCGAATATTTGGCGAATCCCTAGCTATGGAGCGTAACGAGTGAAACAGTCCGGGCCGATACTCTGTCGCGTATTCGTCTAGGGCATGGGTACACACAAAAGTCCGTTTCTGGGACTCGAGGGCCGCCCGCAGCAGCTTGAGTATTTCGGCAACGGTTAGACCTCGACCATCTTGACCTTGCTTCGCCTTCTGAAACCCACCATCAATCTCCGCAGGAATACCTTCTAGCCCGCACACTACCTGCTTGAGAAGACTATCCAGCATCTGCTCCGTGACTTGCGATTTTTGGGTCTGGAACTTGTGATAAATACCGACGACAGATACACTGCTTCTATCGGCCCCACCACACAAGCTATCCATCACCACCAAGCTGATATTATTGTTAGCGAGACATCTCCCAAGAATTCGTTCTCCCATACCCGAGATTGGTCCCCCCCACACCACGTCCTCCACAACACAACTGAGTCTGATCGACAGACCTACCCGCGCAATCCGGCCACTCCAAAAGTTCGTCGACTCGTAAAAGACATTCTCCAATCCCATCGACTCTGCTGTGCCGGAGGTCTTGGTGTCTTTTGTCTTGCTGGTTCCCACGCGACTCCAGCAAAGATAACCGCTCCAGTATCTCCCTCTTCCTATCTAATGCCGATACCATAGGGTAGCTATTCCACGTGTTTTTGAAGCTAGTGTCCACATTTCCACCATTAATACTTCCGATTCCGCTAGAATTTTCGTACCTTGTATCGCCCATGATACTGGAAGTCATTTGTGTATCGTAAGGTTGGTGCCTGATGCGGCGAAGATGATGAGTTTCTGAAGGCCAGCAATAACTCGAGTAGATTTTAACAAAGTTCGGGGAGAGGGGTTGTCGCACGGTGGAATATTGAAGAATCACCGGCAAGGCCATGATGTCGAAAATCCACTGCTCCGGAAAAGGGCGAACAACATAGCGAGACGCGGGCCTCTCAGCCTCACTGATACACATAAAAAAACAAATAAACACGCGTAGCCAGTTAACGCTTGATCTAATTACCCGTATTCGAGTTTCTACATGTAGGCATTGCGCACGATTTACGATATTACAAACAACCCAATCAGTTCTGTGGCACCCGAAGCCAGCGCCTCCTTGAGTACTCGAGTACAGTGCTTGTGTGTAGCGTTAACTTAACTACCGTAATCCAAGACAAAGATCTCGAACTCCCGAATTAGAGAGTCTCAGCCTCACACCACTTTCCGATTTCCAAAGCACCCATGATCTAACGACGCTTATGAAGGCCACCACTATTGCACAACGATCAAAGAAAAATCGCTGTATTTTGGCGCTATATAATAACAGTTTGCTTTTGTAAACCTCCTCCAATTACGAGCGTCTAGCTACCTACGGCGGCACTACCCAATCCTTCGTAACACCAGGGTCCCCGGGTGTCTTCGAAATCATCAAGCACGAGATCAGACCGCCCACCACAATCGAGGCATCCTCCGCAGGGCATACCCGCCACTAGTGGTCGTTTGGTAACCAGACAGAGGCCAAAACACACCCAAATCGCCGTTCCCCGAGCGACGATAACTCCACAGATATCTTGAAACTCAGTTTTGGAAAAAGTTAAAAATATTTGACATGTCTAAAGTATCCCTTGGGCGGTGTGAAACAGTAAAATTTGTTGCCAGGTGGATGAGTGACTTCGCCATTGTGGTCAAGTCACTCGGCCACCTGCAGGGTTTTTACTTCTACCAATGAGAGCTCAATTAAAACTGTGGACAAGTCACTCAGCCCCCTGGCAACGGATTTGACTGTTTCACACCGTCCAAGGGATAACATATATTTATTTCGGCATTTCCTCTGTTGTTTGCAGAGAACTGTGGACACAGTCGCGTGACGAAAATTGTGGGACAACACACGTTTTGCACCCAAGCAGGGAGTTTTCTCACATCAATATCAACATAGATTTTGGCATTAGGGTGAAAATAATCTCATACACTCATCCTATTGCTTCTCCACTTTACTTCTCTACCTTTTGGAAACATAGATATTATTTCTACTTCTCCAGTTAAATTAAGTAGGCCTGGAGCCTGAAAATATACTAGTTTCTACACCATATAATCCCTGTCTGGCTGTACTGCAGGAGGTAATTTGGAATCCAACACTTATGGATGGGGAATGATTTGACAAGAACCTTCAAAAGCCTCTGTAGGTAATCCTATGATACATGAAGCTAGCTATGCAGTGGTTTGAATTTTAAATATTTTGGAGCAGTTGATGATTATTCCGAATATGCCGTTTTTCCGGTGGGGAATGCCGTTGTGCCACAACTTTCTTCACGTGACTAGGCACAGGAACTAGGCCAGGTCTCCTGGAGGGGTGGAAAGTAAACTATTTAGGGGAGAAGGGGAAAATCCCTATTTACCCTGAAATAGCGCAAAAAAAGGGGGGGCGGGCCCACACTAACTGGGCCCCATGCCAAGGGCTCCAGAATTTTCCCCCGGATTAGGGGGGAAAAATGTGGCGAAGAATGTTGTTATGAGACGCGGGGATTAGATGGATAGGATAAAAGTTTGAGGAAAGAATAAAGTTTCTGAGATAATTGGTGTGTATTGCTCGCCCCACATCTTCTATCTATGCATAAGAGGTAGTTTATATAGAACAATCAGTCTCCTATCCACTGGCACACGATCTTCCCGAGTTGCCCAATCCTTCTCCGAAGTTCGTGGTTATTGCAGGTAAGCTGCTCCGAGGTATAGCCGAATGGCCGAGCATCGGGAAGACCTCCGGACACTACCGACTAGTATCCAACTCTCCTAAACCTCCTTTCCGTTGCATCTCTGAAAGCTACAATATAACAAATAAAAACAACCTAGCAGGGAAAATCTCTGCTTGTGTGAAACTTCTGTACCGTCTATCAAAACACCAATACCGAACCATATGAGTACCGGTAATTTTCAACAAAGAATGGGGCTTCCAGCCTTCTGGGGACGGGGTTAAGGAGGGAGTTTATGGGTAACCTTAGTGGGGAGCGGCAGGCCCAATCCCTGTCATGAGGTTGAATAATTCGGGTTTCTACTCCATCTTTCTAATTTAAAGACAGCGCCCTCGGTGCCATAAGAGGTGTGCGAAGTTAGGCTATTTAGGGTATTGCTATCTAGGGTATTAGTAGGGTGCGAGTACACCGGAACTTATTTTGGCGTTACCATCACAATAGTTTTTTCAAAATTAATGGATCTAAAGGCTTTTATTTTTCCTTGAGATCATGTGGGGTCACTCGTTTGTGACTTGTAAGCATCTGTTGGAAATAGCGGGATGGCCGCACGTGGTGCGGGATGTGCTCATTCACGGAGGCTTCAGTTGTATATGTATGCACTGCTGAAGGACCCATGTGCTGTGGGAACCTTTCTGGTCCCTGACTTTTCTTCCTTCCTGTTTTCTCTGACGGGACAACCACTTCCCGTAGTTCACCTTTCTCCTCAAGTTCTTCCTTTCTATCATCTTAGGACCATCAATCATGGTCTTCATCTTCACCTAAGTCAAACCTCATGTCTCCACTCGAGCCATTCCACTCCACTGCGTCAACCCTCCCTATCGATCATTACCTCCGTAGAAATCGTTTTTCAAAACCATTTGTTGAAGCTTATAGCCGATCGAACGGAAGTGCCAATGATTATTGCTGACATTTCACGGAACCGGAAAGAGTGAGCAACAAAAGATATTTGATTTGATCTGATATATAGAGAGTGGAGTGAAAAGAAGAAAGAGAGAGTGAGGAAATGTGGAATGACTGAGAGAAGGGGCAAGCAGATTTGAGGAAAAACAGGAGTGGATCAATCTTGTTGCATATTCCGGAGAGAAATGGGCTGAAGAGAAAGCAAACTTAAGATGGAATCCTGTTCACTAGGCACCACTGGTATGTAAGCATTTGCGGCTACTCATATGTGTCCATGGCTC